TCACAGTCATGGCCACGGCCACCACCATGGTCATGGACACGGCAACCATCTTGGCCATGGCCATCATTACGGTCATGAACATGGCCATGGGCATGGGGGCCACCATACGCACGAAGTTCAATATGTAGATCTACACCACGGCCACGGTGGCCATCATCATACACATAAGGTACACGACGACAATCATATCGACAATTATCTTGGTAAAACGGGAATTGAATATGGTCATCAGGTCCATCATCATATACAGGAACCGATGCAAATGGGAGGTCATGGGAACACGAATCATGACCAGAAAGAAAGTGGGCATTTTTACGGAAGCGATAAGGACGAAATGCAACACGGAATAGATATGTATGGAGGTGACCACTATATGCTTCATGATGGAGGTGACAGAGATCAGAAACACAGTAAGGCCACCTACTGGAATTACGGAGGACAGAACCATCTTCCAGACAGTGGTGGGGGATTGGGCGATAGCCAAATGCATGTACCGAGTATAAACTATAAGGATGGAAACGGCCATGTGAAGCACAGTACTAACCATAACTCAAATATCGATCATGAAGAGTTGATGAGCGGTGGCCACACTATTGCTTTAAGTGGGGTTCGTGGAGACGAAACAGGAGATGGTTATAATTACTTGGAGCAAGTACATGGCCATGTTTTAAGTGGAGGTATGGGTGGTGACCACAGTCATGCCCACATTGGACATGTTAACTTATTAAGTGATAATTATGCGGGAGAATTAGAGGGTGGCCATAACATTACGAGTCATGGATATGGTCAGGTTTTAAGTGGAGGTCACCAGGAAGACACTAGAGGTGACCAAAGTCATGTGGACAGTGGACGTGATAATGTTTTAAGTGTAAGTTATGAGGGAGATACAGGAAGTGGCTATGGCTACGCGGATAATGGAAATGGCGACCTTTTACGTGGGGATTATGGTAAAAGTACAGGAGGTGGCCAAAGCCACATGCAATACGGTGATATTTATGATTCAAGTGGGAGCATCAGAGTTGTAACAGATAGTGGCCAAGGAAATATGAAATATGTGAGGGACGGATCTGGGTATAAAGTACACGAAAATGGAAGCGAAGACAAGGAGACTACGTATGAGACTCATGGATTCGATGATCACACGTCCATGGAGATACGTTATGTTATGGACCCTAAGGATCACGTCGGCCAGACTGTTGAAATTAATGGCGTTCACGATATGGACGGGAAAGATCATAAACATCTACACAATTATGAGAGTTTCGTAATAAGCAACAGTTATGGTGATGTAATTAAAGACATCTGGTACGGCAGCACCAATACTAAGGAGAAAGATGACGCAAGGTTTGCTCATATTTTTGAGCAAAACTATGTTTAAAACACGTTGACTTGTTTCCTGTGAAACCTCATAGCAGGTATTATACGTTTGAAACAATGCACATCCACATAAAGTGCATATTCGAACGAAGCATTTTCTTGGACTTAATTGAGACAGTAAAGTGACAAATTAGGGTAGAGACGGGATTTTCCTCTTTGCCACCACATAAATATCGTCTCTAGGACCTATCTAGTCTCTTATTCAACGAGTACCGGCTTTTCCTCCTGGGTTAAAGCGGCCGGAGTGTAAAGCTTGTCACCCATCACCATCTGAAGCGGCAATTAGAAACTCATGGTATACACCTAGTATACATAAGTCTACTTGATAGATTATTTATTTTATTATTTAAAGTGCAGAAACAGCTTTAATTGACTGTCAATCTGCAATGAATTAAATTTGTTTAATTATAAATCAGGTCGGCTTGATTTAGAAACGAATTTCTAATTGAACGTGACTATCTTCTGGGATGTTGCGCAGTTCAGTCTGGTAGATATTAACTGACGTTTCAGATGAGCTTATACACACAGTATTCTGATATATTCAATCGATAAAATCACATCCCCAGAGGTATTTAAGTAGGAGTTAGGTTGAAATATAAAGTTTAACAAAGCATTCTCTTCCTGATTCGCTTCAAGTTTTAAATATATTTTAGAACGGAAATATAATTGCTGAACATATTTATTGCCTTTTAGGAAACATAAAATAATTTAATAATTTGATTTCATTTCTCACTCAGACGTACGTTCCGCAGGACAAATACAAGTGTTATTAGTAAATAATCTCAATCTTAATAGCCTGTCTTCTTACTTCATGTTGTGAACATTTGTTATTGTAAAAAGTAATACAACAAAATTTGTAAAAATCGGAAGATATATAACATTTATTATACATGTGCCATTTTACAGAGACGGTGAAATGCCTGGAGAGGGGGCCCACAACATACAGAATCTGTCATAGCACACAGGAAACACCATCTTATAAAGTCAAGAAAGACTTCATTTTTACATAATAAAAGCTTACACTTTGTAACGAACATAAATTTTATTTACCACCCGCACGTCACTGTTCTGAAACATCTTGTTTGTTTGTCAGGTAAAAGTAACATTTGCAAATTGTTTTCCCTTTCGTTTTAAAAAAGGCGATATGATCTAATTACATTTTTAACATAGTCGAATTCATTAAGATCCCTACATAGGATGCGCAATCAGTATAGAATCATTTCAAATTTTTGAGATGTATTTTCAAAGTTGAAAGTTTTAAGAGCCAATACCTAGTACTGGTAGCGATGATAAAAAGCGATTCTTAATTTCCGTACTTAATAATCGTGCATGTTACTTTAGTACATTTGACTGAATATAGTACTTATTTGACTCACGTATTGGATACACAGTTTTAAGGACAAAATAGTATTGTTACTTTAAGCATGTGGACCAGACAAGAATGCATTAACTATACATCTGATATTGTCTGTATTACACTTTATTGTACTTAAAAACTTGCAGTTTCTGCGACCTGAGGAGGAGGTTACAAAGAAGCCTCTGGTATGGGTTTCTCTCTCTTCGCATGTCTCTTCTCAAATGCTATATACATGGAATTATTTTAAATTATTTCTTGTACGTGTAATGAATATTTAAATTGCATGTTGTTACCATATACACACATTTAAATAAAATATTTTTTTTATATTTGTATTGCATTGTTACCTTCACTCAACAGGTTACTGTCGAAGTTGTTAAATATGCTACTCAGCTAAAACTAATTCCAACTTCCACGAACCTTAAAATAGAATTGCAGTGCACAGGAATACTTAATACATATATTCATCACTGCAGTATTCCAGCTACACAGATGTTATCCTTAATAAAAACAAGATATGGGACATCATAAACTATTCCGAGACTAAACTGACAAAGTTTATCCTGATGAATATTTCATCTTGTCTGCGGATAAGTTATGGCACATTGCTGCACTCTGGGTATTAAAAGCTTTTGACATACGTTTACTACATGCAACACGTGGAGATCTTGTGAAAATGAAAATAAATTTAAGTATGTAGGATATTAGGTTTTCACGGCGGTGAGCCTTCTCGGTTGTAGCGCCATGTAGTCTGGTAGAAGTTTACCAACGTTACAGAGATCCTTGCTGCCTTTAATATCAGGGCGATGACCTATGTGTTTCTGGCTGTCGCCTCCTGCTGCCTTGTTCCTTCAGATTTCCTCTGTATAAAATACGATTTACGTTAAAACAGTAAGTTGGCTCAAAACACTTGTCTGAAACAAAGCACAGGACTAAGGGAAATCAACTCGAGCCTTCTACATAAATCGTGTGGTTATTTCCTTAGCTTATTTAAGTACGAAATTGATGAGATCACAAGAAACAACTGTATTCATGTTAGGATGATTTAGCTACACTTATGAATCAGAAAGAACTCTGAATTTGATAGTCATTCGTAAAATATAATATTTTCTGACACGGATGGCAGAAACAAGACGAGGTTTCCTCCTACGTTCTACACACTATTCCTCTACGTTTCCTACATGTTTAAGTCTCGTGCAGTGGACAACAAGGTAAATCATTACTTTCCCTGGTTTAACATATAATACGTAGGAAGGATGAGTGTACATGGATATTGTAAGATTTGAGGTTTTCACAGCGGTGAGTATGAAGATTTCTGTCTTCTGGGTTGTTGCGCTGTGTAGTCTGGTCGATGTTAACCAACGTTTCAGAGGTCATACTGCCTCCGTCATCAGGGTGATTCTTAGTATGAAGATTTCTGTCTTCTGGGTTCTTGCGCTGTGTAGTCTGGTCGATGGTTACCAACGTTTCAGAGGTCATACTGCCTCCGTCATCAGGGCGATTCATCGTAACAACCCAGAAGACAGAAATCTACATGGCTGCTGCTTAAGAATGAAGTTCTGAGGAGAATTTATGAACCCAAGATATAGGAAGTAACAAATATTGGAAACAATTGCTTAAAGGTTTTTATGAATTGTACTCATCAAATATTAGTAGAGTGTTAAAGTCAAGGAGGATGGAATGGGCAGAACATGTAGAACGAATCCGGATGAACGAAATTTATGTAACAAATGCACTTTATATCTGAAGGGAAAAGTACTAAAACGATGGAGGCTTAGAAGTAGGTCTGTTGTTGAAATGCATTTTAATGAACTAGGATGGTAAGGTGTTGACTGGATTCAGCTGGCTCAGGATAAGGTCTGGCAGCGGGCTCTTATAAACATGGTTATTTTAAGATTCCTATGTAGGAGTTTGTTTAAGGAACAGTTCAAGACAGGACGACAGCTCTCAGGATATATGGACACACGGAGACATCGTTAATGTGACTACCTGGTGAAATTCCTGGATCACTAAGCCTGACGGACATTGTTAAATTTAAGGTTAAATTGCGAGTCATATTTAACTGGTAGCTGCTTATGCAAAATCTGGGAGACCTTTGATAGTGTTAGCTCATGCTGCAAAGTCGGTGGTGAAGGAAGCTACGATAGCCTACATGCACTTTCGGTCAAAGAGTCAGGAAAAGGACATTAATACTTCAGTTCTTACTGACATTTTCAGGACACAGCCATACATGGAATTGAGAATCGTTGCCTTGAAGAACACGGTGTTACAAACAAAGCTGTTTATTTGTATGAACTGTACACAATAAGTATAAAAGAAAACAACAACAATAAAAACAAGAAATAATGTTGTGATGAGACTAGTAAACAGGTTAGGCTAGTTCCAGAAGGTACATCACAGCCAGTCTGGAAACTACCCGTATGATGCGCAGTGCGGAACAAGAGAACACTACCTATGTACAAAAGTGTGAAATGCACAATACGTGAATTCCACTGTTGGACGGAATCACTGTGCTGTACGGTACAAGTCAATTTGATTTTGTTTCACTGGCTTATCACTTCACCCAGTCTTGCTCTAATCCCAGCCATGGCCGCCACTGCCACCGTAACCGCCACCTCCGTGGCCACCACCTCCGTGGCCACCACCTCCATGATCACCGCCAAATCCTCCATGTCCGCCTCCGAAACCACCGCCGTGTCCGCCTCCGTATCCACCTCCAAACCCTCCGCCGTGCCCGCCTCCGTGTCCACCTCCAAACCCTCCGCCGTGCCCACCTCCGTGTCCGCCTCCAATATCACCGCCTCCGTAGCCACCATCTCCGTGACCGCCTCCAAAACCTCCTCCGTGATCATCTCCAAATCCGCCTCCGTGACCGCCTTCATGTCCGCCGTCTTCGTACTTCACTGCGACTACTTCGTATCCGCCGCCACCTCCATGTCCGCCTCCGCCATGACCACCGCCTCCACCGTGTCCTCCGCTAGGCACCTTAATTATCTTATAGACTGTGTGCGTGTGATGAATGTGTTTTACTTTGAGGGGAACGTGAATGATCACCTTCTTCCTGCAAAGCGTCAGTCAGACATCAGCGTTTTTCCTGGTGTAGGCCTAAGCTCTACCTTGAGTACTAACGTGCATTGTTTACTACGTACCCTCCTCCATGGCCGCCTCCGCCTCCAGCATGGCAAAGTCCAAAGAAAACCAAGAAAATTACAGATATAAACTGTAAAGTAAAACAAAATTGGATGAGTATGAAACGCATGAAATGCAGATACTTTACAAAAGCGAACTTGTTCAGTGTCGACATTTCGAACCAGGATGTTAAAATACACAAACGCGACACGGAATTTCCATAGAAACAGGAACGTCTAAAACGTTAAATTTATGGAAGACATTAATAATCGCGAAGTCAAGAATGGTGAATAGTGGGACATTCTGACATCAATTCTGATATGTACCACACAAGAAAATACACTGGTTACATCTATTTGGTGAGAGATTTTCCTACCGTTTAATTCACATCCTGCAGCCTCGACTATTAAAACCTTTTGGTCAAACAGGCATTAAACAGTCATTCAAAAAAGTAAAATATTCACGAATAAATAGACGTAGATTAGTATATAGTCACAAGCTTTACATATCCACAGCAATGTCACTATGTAAGACCAGAATTGAAATTAAAACTATTTTTTGAATTTAACTGTAATTTAGTCACATATATTGGTTTGGCTATATTTTGTATCAGATACATTTTCCAACAAATCTGACTCACATCCACTTCTAACAGAATATCTCAAAACTGAAGGAACTGCAACACACTGTGTAGTTTCAAGGGTCGCCTTTATCAAACCAGCGAAGAAATAAAAACAGCTAGTCGTAGCAATAGAAACATCACAAGTACCACGTGGATTTATTATAATAATAAAGAACAAACCACAGAAGACCCCAGTGATCTTCAGTATCCATTATTTCGATGAGCCAATAATAAAGGTCCCATCAGCGCGTTTTACATCTCAGTTGATTTTTGTAAAGTATTAAAAGTTCTTGTCTTGGCAAAGTGAATTTTAGCAGAGTTCCGAAGGAATGGTCAGTGTAAGGTCCAAACCCAATCACATTACTAGCAGGCGCAATTATTACAGTTTATTAAGCCAAGCAAAAAAGCTTTTCTTCCAACATTTTACACAGGCAAATACGAGCATAAATTGCTGTTTTGAGCCACCAGTACTAGCTACTATTCCATTAAGGGATGTAAGTGGGACAGGACAACCTTGTGGCAGTACAAATGAATACACCGGGTGACACGAAGCTGCTCAATTTGGCACTGAAACTTGTCGCGGATGGACGAACAAACGGAGGTGACAGACACGAAAAAGAAAACTGCCATTCTAAAACGGAGGAGAAAAGCGTAGGAATGGGTGAAAGGGAAAGCACAGGTCTAATTTATTTATCAAGTCAACATGACGCCCCTTCCTAACATCGAAAATCAGATACATCGACAAGCGTACTCTCCTAATCCCTGAAATATATTGTCCTATTTTCCCAAACACCATGCTATCTGCTGGCTTTTTTCTTTCGAAATATTGTACTATAATTTTTACAATCAGATTGCATTTCAACACTTGATAGTTTAATGTCATCTACACGAAGCAACGCTTTACGAAACACACTGCCCTTAGTCAGAAAGCGACAACACTGCGTTGATTTGTTCTTTATTTTCCTGGGAAAGCACTTTAATGAACAAATATGAAATCTGGCTTGCGTAATGTTAAGTACGATATACTACGATAATTAACGTTGAGCTGAATAAAAACAAATAATTATTTTAAAATTGGCCGTTAGCCATGTGATTGAGACGTTGTACACACAAAGTACCTCAAATGAATACAAAATTGTGAAGTCGTACATTGGTTTTCATTGAAACTTCATATTGGTCTGAACTAGACGCTGTCATGCGAGTCTTAATTTGGTCTGTATTGATCTAATATAGATCTGCTTGTAATGAATTCTTATCTAGCTACCGGCATCATCGGGCGGTTGAATGGCGAAAACACCGAAGTTTCGAGAACGATGTCCGTCATCGTCCTCAGGGTACTGCTCATAAGTTATAAAAATTGAGATAAAATTTAAGACTGTCATTTTCTAAGAGAATTTTCGTTTTAAAAATAGTCGTCTACGTCATATATTATATTAATATGAAGAATCTGCAAGTAACTTGTGATACTTTGCGACACGATGCTGTTAAAAGTGTCAGAGACGTAAAGTATGACTTCAGTTTGTTGATATTACAAAAACAAAAATGGGTTTATTCTGTGGTAAATTGATGTAAAAGCCGGCCAGCTATATGCAAAATCACAGAGTAAAAATATTAGAAATACGCGTTCCTGAAACTGCAGTGTTCTTATGAAAATATTTTGTTGCAAATAAGCACGTAACTTTTGTTAAAATAAATTCCTTGTAACTCGATAACCTCCTGAGATTATTTCGTAGAACTCTTTTGTACAGTTGCAAGCTAACTGGACTGCGTTATTTTTCTTGTACTGCAAGTCGGTGGTAAACAAGTCTCGCATTAACATAACCACTAAAACATCAATCTAGAAAGCGAATACTTTTGGCTGTTTGTTAGCAAGAGAAATTCAAGATGAAACAAAAAACCTAATTGATGTGCCTAAGTTACACACACAATTTGTTTCTCTGTTATTGGCGAAGATCAAAGGATAAAAAATAATGAAACATGTTTCGCGTCAGTATTAGATTCCACGTGGACAGAATGAGAAGTCAAATCAGACTGTTACGTCAAAGGACCCGTCAACTCCGTCAGAGTCTATGCCATATTCTAAGAATAATATATTTTAATATAATTATATTGCTGAAGTGCAACAAATGTAATAGACACGTATAAAACCAGCTATACAGATTTACAAATGCCACATTCAATCTGAAGATTTCAAATGCAAATATTGCCGCAATGTTGGACAGACTTCAGTAACCGAAGCTGCTGAAACTGGAAACTGATCTTATAAGCACACATGAAAAATGTAATTCTTTTAGAAAGACAGGGCCACTGTCCCATCTTCACTTGTAATCTATAAAATTATTTAAACATCTTTACATCTGTCTCATCGTAAATAAATATATTTAAATAACTCACAATAAAATTACCTCTATCAGAGAAACTGATAATGAAAATGAGGGAGTACGAAGTCAAAAGTGTAGCTTGTGTATTCTTATGTGGTAAAAATGATTAAGCAGAGTATGCTATGGATCGTTGAAGTTCTACAATAACTAATTTAGTGGTGCTGGGCTAACTTTTTTCTAGTTGGTGACAAATTCCAGCTTCGTTTCGTACACAGAAAAATCCTTTAAAGAATCCTGTGAGGAGGAAGGTGAATCCAGGACATATTTTCCTACCCAGTTTCTCTGTGAACCAATTTCATACCAACATCCCTTCTACATCAAGATCACATATTATCGTTTAAAATTTTTCGAAGAAAAGTAGTTTATGTGAGTTTTGTAAGGTTTCGTAATTCTGATATTTTCAAAGATTAATATCAAAGTAACTATGTGATGAAAATGTACGACACCTGACAGCTTATGTTTACTTACGGATACACGAGGTGCCATTTTGTGTGGTATCCACTGGTACCCGCAGCGAACAGCAGCTCAGAATGCAATGTTTACCACTCAACTCATGTATCCTTTTATATCCGTCCTAGGTGAGCATGAAATAGTTCAGCGAATGAAAGGGAAGATGCACTTCAAACATATTCCAAATAAAAACGTTAAAATCATCTGCGTGTTTTCTCTTTTGCATCTTTTACAATGAAAGGCACTACTATTTGTTTTCCTTTTGTTCGGAACCCTTTCATAATACATGCAGCTTAAGAGAAGGGAAGACAGATGTGGCTGGCGGAACTTGATACCGCGCTAAGGTCATAATTGAAGGGGGAGGAGAAGCAAAGTGAAGGTGGGCGCTGTTGCACAGTGGCAAATGGCTGAATGCTAGAGCAGCGTATTTGCCAAGCACCAACTGCATTTCTTCGATTAGAAACACACAACTGCGTAACGGTGGTTAGGCATGCATTTCCTCTATTGTTACTTAGCCCAATTAGTAGCCCATTTCTATGTAGCGTTCACTCTAATGGCAGCCTCATTATTACTACACAGGTTACAGGAAGAAGAACGCTAAGAATAATTAATGGTTTAAGCTATGTACGTCGTAAAATGACAAAAAACAACAACATAAAAACATATATCACATATTCTGGATGTCTGGGTTTCATCTCGTTCCATCCTAACAACGTGATTCTGTAGATTCTCTCAGTTGCAACCAAAAGAAGTAACTGAAATGCGAGGATCAATTTGCGCGTACTTATGGATAAACTTAAAATATCCAGTATCAAACAACTCTCAAATTTGATAATAATTTAACTTAAAACAATCTTGTAGGCCTACCGTTAAATTCATACAACGACATCTTTGAAGATGGCTGTCTTCTGGAATGTTGCGCCGTGTAGTCTGGCAAACGTTAACGACGTCTCCAAAGGTGTCAGGCGCGGCTCTGATAGAACAGCCATATTCATGCTTGCCGTCATGAGAAATTTAAATATCAAAATTCAATTCTTCTTCAAAGCGCTTTCAGCTCTTAACAACCTTGGTCTGCTGGGTAATTTCCTAATTTTCAGATCATCTAAGATGTTTGATTGGACCCTCTGCCTTTACCTACACAGAAAAACGCGAAATACACTGAAATACGGCGAGCGCAACGCCAGTAACGAACTACAAGCAGCGGCGTCCTTTCTGAGGATGTAATTGCTCAGATAGTCAAATTACCTGCTCATTATCGTGTTCGCAGAAACCCGCCAACAGTCCTCAAAGTTTCAATTTCAGGAAATGATCGCCCATGAAAGAGACCTTTACTTTGCTCCTTACGCCCTTGTAGGTCGAACACCACTTAAATTGTGATTGAACTTTTCTCTCCGAACGCTACTCACTCCGGAATGATATGCACATTTATTTCCTTTCTATATCCAAACTAAGCGCTGTAAGCTGAATGACAATGGTAATGAAATCCCCTCGGTCTGATTTAGGTATTACAGCAACAGAAAGTGAAATGAGCTCACGGCTAAGTTAATGGGTAAATGCAGATCGGAGAACTAGTGTTTGTGGTGCAGCTGGTGGGTGCATCTTCAGAGACCGGTAAGTGCTTTGGTTCTTAATTTTAACATAAACATGGACATTTGGTAAAATTGCATGAGTACGTTGAGTTTGCCCCAATTTCGAATGTGTCAGGGCCTACTGCATGTGTTCTCACACAGAGCCCAATACTATACTTCTCTATATGAACGTAGCATTGAATCCTGATGTTAGCAGGCAAGCCATAATTTCTCTAGGCTTTGGCTTTCAGCTCCGGAGTTTTCTCGTATTTGAAACACCTATGATATGTCAGAGTTTGCACAGAGTAAACAAATTAGGCGTTATATTTTAGACACATACAGAGTTTCGCAAACGTCAACTTTTTACTTTTTTATGTCCTCAATGTAAAATAATTACACCTTTAACTACGTGAACATTATTCTGTTGGTATTGTTCTCGCCTCTTCTTTATTCATATTTGATTGCAAGTCACCTACTCCCCAGGAATATCGTGATGATTTAACAAATTACAAATGTTTAAGTATGTCGAATCGTGATTGTCCGTTACCGGTAAATGAACTTCGTTCACAATAATATCTGCTTTCCTGTCATGGCTAACAAGTTACTGATTTTGACTGACTGCTGTTCACAAGGATATGCTGACGGTTTAAAGGTTTCTGGTTTGTAAATGACAATGTATAAAACTTAATGCATAATGCGAAGTCATGTTTGTACGTCAATCCGTCTGCCTGTTTTATCTGTAAAAATTATTCAGTGGATTTCAATTAAATTTGCTGTTGGAAATCAACATTGAAAGTTTGTCATTCCAGTATGCTACCTATCCAATGTGATCTGATGCTACAAGAACTTGTACTATACAAAGCGTAATAAAATAAATAGTTTTATAAATAAACGGAAAATCTTACTAATTATATGAAAATAATCACCAGTAATTTGTAAATGCCTTTTAAGTTGTTTTTCCACGCATTAAACTGAGTGCTAAGCCCTGTAAATCCCCAAGAGACCTTCCAAATTCTAAATATATTTAGAATTTTCGAAGATAAAACATTCGGGCAGACAAAGAACAGTTAAGGCCCAACAGTCATGTTTGAACATAGAACGCAATTACTCTAACCTGTGAAGTTGAAAGCGTTTTTGCCCTTATCATTACGTTTTGTTACCCTGGAAGATATTTTCTCTTGTCACGTTCTTTCTGAATGCAACAAAGTGCAAAGAACCGTAACGCTGACATCTTCTCACGTGAACTCAGTCAAAAGAAATTAGTGCACAATCTAAGGAAACAATCAGTGAGTACGGTCCTGGTTAGATCTAAATCTCTTTTTGCACGAAGTGGTCAAAATAAACACATTATGTTGACGTCAGTTCTGTTCTTCCGTACATTCATCTACTAAACTACTCAATGTATGACAGTGAAATTTGGTATCCGGTCAATATTAAATTTGTTGTATGAATTTGTGGCCCGTGTAGAACTCAAATTTCTTTACAGATAAAATAAAAGCGTATAACATTCCTCTAACATGAATCATCGTAAGTAAAGTAAATACTAAAACGATCTGTTTAATTGGGCACGATACTTTTTAAGGAAATACATACCTCAGGAATTTGTTTAAATATAAATTTTAATAGATATCATATACCATTGAAAATGACGCTGTAACGCTGAAATAGTAGGGTTACAAAATATAAGTATTTGTATGAAATTGGGAAAAGCTGTATAAGATGACTATAAAACATTAATTGTAATAAACTAATTGCATTGTAAGATCTGAGGTTTTCACGGCGGCGAGTCTGAAGACGGTTGTCTATATGTTGTTGCGCCTTGTAGTCTGGTAGAATTACACCGACGTTTCAGAGGTGCTTGCTGCCTGCGTCATTAGGACAATGTTATTCCACAGCAGAACCGACCACATAAAATGCACTGCAGGCAACTCCACCCAGACGCTTTTAACAAGCTTAAGCCTCAACTAGCTGGCTAACAACGCCAAAGTGGCTACAACTGTTGAACGGTGTATTTTATCTGATCGGTTTTGGTGTGGAGTACACTGAATCCCCGGAATTAAGGCAGAACCATTTTTATTTACATTTTTTTGAAAATGTCTGTTACACACACGTTCCGGATACGGCAAGAGACTTAAGGAAATCTGTTATGAATGTTATTTTTCATTTCAAGGACATTATTACTAAAGAAGTTGTAGTGTATCCTGGAGTAGATAGACAAACAGACGGGCAAAAAAATATACTAAGACACTTTCCACACTGAGCATGAGAAAGCACGCAAGAGTATCGGTACACTATCAAACTTGAATACTTTTGACTTCTTACTTGAAAGCAAACCCTTTCCAGTTAAAGTACGCTGAGGTATTTACCTTGTAAAGTGACTTCAATGCTTGTTCTTAGGTATTCAAGGCTGGTTTCCTAAAACCCCTAAAACACTTTCAACCTGAAGATGAAAAATGCAATGGTCTCCGAAACGTCAAGAAACTATTACGATTACCAGTTCTGTCCCGATATCCGAAGTTACTCAGTGTGACTTCAAGTCAAGTAAGAGAACTTCACTTCCAGGTGAAGTGGAGGCTATTTATCTACCAGCTCTCATAAAACGAAGTGATACAAAAGTAATCAAAATGCGAAGCGTTGTTATGACGTCGTTTGTAAATTATTTGTTACATTGAAAGTTGAATAGGGACGTACCGGACTGAGTATGCTGTCACTCAAACGCAAAGGTTTTCGACCTTGAGTCACAACTCTTAGTTATGTTTTGTTCGACGTTTCGGTGAACGTTAAACTTTTTGTATCAACAAAGGAAAGTAACTGTAATGTTCTCTGAAACATCGGACGTGGTTCAACCCTGAAAACGAAGAGACTTGAATCATAAGTCAGATACGCAAGATTTTGTGTGGCAGAATATTTTAAATATGACATCAACGTTTTGCATGAAACATTTGGTCTGTTGAATTGCGGCAATGAAAACACTGATGTCCTACGACGTTCCGAGGTCTAACTTTCACTACGTCGAATACCGTCCGGTGCAATTGTTAATTTTAACACCTGGAAGGAACAAATCTATTGCTGTTTATCACGAGTGACTTTAAGCAGGGTTAGTTTTGTTTTTATTATTCGTCTTATATGAAGCTATCTTAGAAAGTTTGATTATATCACTTCTTTACTTCGATGATTAGTATCAACGAAAAGCAAAAGCAACTTTCGCTCCAACCTGTAACTGTGAGGGACCTAGTCATTTTCCCCAAATGACCGCAACATTCCTCCCGTCAAATAAAAGACCTTGCTGAAATTTAACGGGCTGGGTCCTGGCGTGTTAGGAAGCTTGTTAGTTTGCATTATCTTTGATTAAAAAGATTTTTTCATCTGATAATAAAGATTTACTATTCTCCACCATTATCCTTTATATTCTTGGTTTAATTATCCCTTCGTGTATATACTGAACATGTCTGCTCAGAATATCAATATAGAATTTATCAAACCATTTCAAAATAAATGTATCAAATATATCACAAAAACATGCGCAC